CTACTGGCAAAATGCAATTGTTTTTGCAAGGAAAGATAAAAAAAGTCATGTAAGTGAGATAATCAAAATGATTAATTTTAGCTTGGTCATCTGCAGTTTTTCTATTAGACAGATATCAAATAGCACATTCCAGAATTATCTTTTAAATTATACATGTGGTAGGTAAGGGTTTAATGTATTATAAAAGCTGAAAGTTATTTGTAATGAGAAAGCAGAATCAAAATTGTTTACCATGTTAAAATTATACCTTTTAGCCTTTCAGAAATGAAACATTAAGTAGTAGAAAAATGCAAAGCTTGGATGTTCCCAAACCAACCATTTTCAGAAAGCTACTTTTAGAGGACATTTGCGACCGTTATTTTTTCATTCCAATTGAGAATATTAAGGTTTCATTTACAATTTCAGAATTTTCCACGGCGCTGAAACTCTGGTTCCCAGCCAACTCTAATTTTAAGTAGATTGTGCACCGTGGATAATGAGGGCAGAGTTTTTACTACTTAGTCCTGCAAGGGTAATGTTGGAAAGGAGTGCCCCGTTCTTGCTACTGTTCTGTGGGGGGCAGGCAGGACCCCAAGTCAAGGAGAGGATGGGGCAGGTGATTTTAGCCAGCACAGGCAGGGCTAGAAGAAGAAACAAAGAGATCTTAATCTGGATTGTGTAAGAAAGAAGAGCATAGGTGCAGAAGGAATAATATAGGTTGAAAAATGTACAATCTAGTCTATCTAGTTGTTTCATCCCTTTCCGCATCTCAGAATTAGCCATTCATTAAAGCCTCTTTCACCATTATCCTTGCTTACTTTGTTCTGATTTTTTTTAGATCCTGCTATTTGCAAGTATTACTATGATAATGAAAGTAAATAAATCCAGAGGTCAAATAGACAAATCCAAGCATCCAAACCTTAGCATATCTTTAAAGTACTAGCCAGTGTGCTCCATCTCACCTTAGCTCTGCAGAGGACTGAGTCACTAACTGGTTTCCACACAGCAGAGAGCTGATTGCCTTCATGTTATGCTTGAACAGGTATGGGGACATGTAAATTCTCAATGCAAGAGGATTTAAACCCCATACTGCCCATTAGTGAAGAGAAATGAACTTTCCTAGAGCTCGAGCTGCAGAACATTTGTTAGTCAAGTGGAAGGTCATTTTCTGTTATCTACTGTGGAGTGAGATTTTCAAAACCTCAAAGTGACTTAAAAGTACATGGTATATCTACTCCTCCATGACTGCTTTTACTAGAGCATAAACATAACTCTAAGTCCCACTGGCTTTCGACCAGGCTTTTAGCTCCCAAGTATTGAAGTCACTTCTAGAAATGGGACATTATCTCCTAAATTACAAAGGCACTTTTGCAAATGTATCCCGTGATGGTAGCACTGCTGCTCTCCCGCTTGGTCTGCAGAAATAACAGAACAAGATCGTAATGGATATTGTCTTTCCAACCATTTGCTTCTGGTAAGCAGTAACAGGCATTGGCTCAAAATCTAAATAGGCAATATGGTTATCCAGAGAAACCCAGCTTGTCCTGTTTAACCTGTGTTCACTGTTATTGAGCCATAAGGAAGTCACGTGGGATCGCATCTGCTTGTGTGATGTTTAATCATGACTATTACTATATTTTTTATTGTATTGCACTAGCCTCCAAGAGCCTTCATCACTGGCCAGCCATCCCTTGTGTTAGATGCTGCACAACCACGGAGTGAAAGGACGATGCCCTGTAGAGCCCGTATGCTTAGTGTTTTCTCTGCTGTGTGTTTACAGCAGTTTAGATTCACAGCTTCTAACTCCAAGTCAATCTAGCAATGAGGGCAAACATTGCCCATTAGCAATGTCTGCAACAAAACATCACACACATGAAGCCCTAGCCATGCTGGCAGTCATAGCAAGCTGTTTACCTACTCTTCTTTCCTGCACTGTCTATGAGAGTGAGCACTCACCTCCTCACAGCATCTCATGTGATGAGGAGAAATGACCAGCACCAGCAGCAGACGCAGCCCAAATGAGACTGGTGCATGACACAGATGTGCATCCTGTCCCACCTTGCTCCCATGGGAAAGAAGCTACAGCCCGCTCTCCCTCTTTCCCCAGCCCACCTTGTTGCCTCCCAGTCTCAATACCCCATAGTTACTTTTTCATGCTATCAGTGCCAGGTGCGGAGCCGGGAAGCATAAGCCATCTGCAGCTGACAGCAGGCATCCCCAGTGGGATAAGCTAGTAATGAATATCACCAGGATGCCGAGGGTCTAGAGGCAGGAATCCGACTGACTGCCACTGAAGGGATTGAAACAAGTCGCAGAAATATCCCGGCTTCATCAGGAAGGAAAGGCTGTATAATTTGCAGCTGGAGATGAATGTGATTATTTGCCATGCAAATGGATTTTGCCAGCTCAAAGTGGCCTTCATCAGCAGAGATTGTTGTATTTGACATTTTCCGGTTACTTTTGTTTAATGCCTCTGTGCCTTTACTAAGCACTTCCTTCCCAGAGCACACATCATCCAGACTAATTAAAAACAGGTATCTTTTTCCTCTTCCCATCAATCTGAAGACATGTGAGCTGAATCCATAGCTGCCTCCCTTCCCGATCCCTCTCCAAATATGAAACAAAAGGTGAAGTCGTTTGCGCTGACAGTCCTGCATGCTGAGTATTCTCCGCAGATGGGAAGCACGATGGTCACATTTATCTCACCTAACTTTAGCTACTTAAAAATTAACTGTTTAGTCCAACCTAGTCATCCCAGTTCCTTCAAAATTCAATAGAGAGGGAGGTCTGCAGAGGGACCTCCTCCCAGCATGAGAAAGATGGGGTGAATCATCCCTGGAGGTTCCTGTTCATCTCCAGAGGTTGTTTGGTGAGTATGTCTCTCTCAGAGAGTTAAAGTAGGGTAGAAAAACAGTGCACGTCTGCCTGCCTTTCCCACAGCATCCAGCACTTCCACAACAAACCTCTGATCCCCCTCTCTGTCTGGCAGTAATGGGGAGGCATAAACAGAAAGTAATCTGGGATGAGGGACCGTCGGTCTGCTTAGCCATGTTGCTGCAGTTGCCAATGAAGGAGGAGGTTTGCGTGAGACACTGCAGGGCAGGGTAACCAGCATAGAGCTTATGGTTAGAAACCATGCCTGAAAAAATCTTCTTTGTCATACCTTTCTTGCTTTTTAAGATGTGGATGATTAAGAATTTGTGAACTCCCTGCAGTATCACCTCCGAGATGGGTCCTGTAGACTTCCCTGAAAGACCTTCAAAGTCATTCATGGAGCTTGGGTTTGTGGTGAGATGGACTTTGCTTCCCAGTTTCAGAAAAGCCCATGGAAGAAGAAACCAGAGGGGAGAGCAGAGGCTCTGCTCCGAAATGAGCAGAGGAAAGCCCGACTCATCTCTAACCGTAGAAATCCTTTCAGTCACATCTGTAAAATACACTGCTTGTCCTTTCTGTCGCTGTAATCCCTTGCAGTCATGTTTCCTGCAGTTTCTCTCTGCCACGGGTGAAAGCTGCTGTGATTCTCCAGGAGTGTGGGGCTGACAGCGCATGTGGTGGGATGGGTCTTATTTCCACGTATTAAAATGCGTGCTTTCCGCTCTGCCCTGTGTGCTGCTTGTGTGGGAGCTCAGTCGCTGTGCCTGCTTTCTGCTGGGAAGTGATCTCAAAGAGTTTTGATTAAAGAGATTTCAGGGTGCATTGATCTAAACGGGGAGATGACGTGATGTCTGTGGGAGCAGCTCCCCTCCTATCAGCAGTGTTTAAAACCAGTCTGGACAAACTGGAAGGGTGTAACATAGATAAGTCATGCAGCTGGTGGGCTATGTGGGTTTAGTCTCCTTCCAGCTCTAATTTTGGTGATTAGCAGGGTGTGTTTTTTCCCTCAGTGGAGCAATGGAGCATACAGGTTGGTTTGTCAAGTCATGCTAAACCACAGTAAACCATAGCAGCTGGACCCAAGGCTTCATGCAGTCCTGGACACGGCGTGGCACACACTATCATGAGCTGGTCCAGTGCCCTCAGCTGGACTGTTCTATCTCTGTTACCATCCGATAAACCATATTTCTGTGGAGTGACTCAGGTCAGCAGAAAGGCAATGCTGAGACATGGTCCCCCACGGAGAAATAAACAGTGTTTCTGAGGGGCAGGTCCTTCCTAGTCAGACTGTCTGGCTTTATAAAATAGCATTGTAAGTTACCTTCTATCTTGGACAGTGCTCTGCATCTAGAGAAGGAGCATATAAATAATTTAGACAGAATGCATGAATACTCACTCTAAAATTATCTACCAATCTTAAAAATTATTTTAAAATATCTTAATATAAATGAATGCCTGCTTGACTTGTTTGCCTCTATAGCTATCCAATGGTTACAGATAATTGGCTATTTGATTGCAGCAAGTGCAAAATACCTAGATTTTAAGGCATTATTATGAACACTTTTTCTAACCATCTGCTGAATACAAAACAGAGAATGTCAGTAGGCAAATTATTCATTAAAACCATAGCTCCTCTCTGAGCTTCAATATGTCTTATAGAAAAACACAGAGTTTTGATTTTTAAACTTCAGGGGATGGAGGAGCTGACCTAGTGATCCCAGCTGGTCTGTATATCTGGTCTGGCTCCATGCTGGTGCTCCTTCCTGCTGCGGGTACATGCCACAACACAGACCTCGCCAGAGCTGCTGTGTGGATGGGCATTGCCCTGCCCAGCTAAACCTTCCTCATAGTTGTCTCCATATCTTCTTATTAATATTATTATATACTCTGAAAGGAATTGAAAATCAAAGCAAATCAAATCAGTTTATTGCTGATTTTTTTTCACTGTGAATTTTTTATCCCCCCTTGAATTACATTGACACCTTGAAAAGTAGATTGAGACCTGAGATAGACCTTTTGGCTTCCCTGGAAGTGGCTGGAAAACATGACTTTGGGTAAATGCCCAGGTAAATGATGGGCCTGCAAGAGCAAGCTGCACCTTTTGGACCTTCACACCCTTCTTGTCTGACTCTCCTCTCTGTGTCCAGGTCTCTCTCTGGCCGCATAGTTGGTGGCGTCTGGTGGTTCTTCACCTTGATCATCATATCCTCCTACACAGCAAATCTGGCTGCCTTCCTCACCGTGGAAAGGATGGTTTCTCCCATCGAGAGTGCAGAAGACTTGGCCAAGCAGACAGAAATCGCTTATGGGACCCTGGAAGCTGGCTCCACTAAAGAATTTTTCAGGGTAAAAGGAAACGTTAATGCAAACATTTTGATTAGCCCCTTGTTTGATAAGTCCTCCAGGCCCGTCCTCTCTCATCCTCAGCACAGGTCTGCTTTTTTTCTCTTGCTTCCCCTTACCATGTTAAGACCTGCTGAGCTTGTCCTTCCAACAACAAAAATCCAGTTTTCCCTGTGCTGCTCAGAAGGCTGGCTGTGTCTCCAGTACATGTGATATTCTGCAATTGTAAACACAAATATGGAATATCCGTGTGCTTCCCCACGTATACCAAGGAGCTACTCTGAGCAGCTCCAAAAGAAACCATCTCCTGATTTCCAGCTTGGTTTGCCTTGGTTTGATCCGCAAAATCATTTGCTGTACACAAATATGTGACAGAAATCAGGGGTTGATCTGGGCTCTGATGCAGAAATGGCAGGAGGTTCATTAACATCTCATTACCCCTTTTGCCTTCCTTGGCCCATCTGATATGTGGGTGTCATGGTTTAACCCCAGCCGGCAACTAAGCCCCACGCAGCCGCTCGCTCACTCCCCCCCAGTGGGATGGGGGAGAGAATTGGAAGGGTAACAGTGAAAAAGCTTTTGGATTGAGATAAAGACAGTTTAATAGGTAAAGCAAAAGCCATGCATGCAAGCAAAGCAAAACAAGGCATTCATTCACTCCTTCCCCTCGGCAGGCAGGTGTTCAGCCGTCTCCAGGAAAGCAGGGCTCCATCACACATAATGGTGACTCGGGAAGACAAACGCCATCACTCCAAACGTCCCCCCCTTCCTTCTTCTTCCCACAGCTTTATATGCTGAGAATGATGCCATATGGTGTGGAACATCCCTTTGGTCAGTTGGGGTCAGCTGTCCCGGCTGTGTCCCCTCCCAGCTCCTTGTGCCCCCCAGCCTGCTCGCTGGTGGGGTGGGGTGAGAGGCAGAAAAGGCCTTGACTCTGTGTCAGCACTGCTCAGCAGTAACGAAAACATCCCTGTATTATCAACAGCCTTTCCAGCACAAATCCAAAACACAGCCCCATACCAGCTACTCTGAAGAAAATTACCTCTACCCCAGCCACAACCAGCACAGTGGGTATCTGTTCAGCCCAAGCTGGAAATCTCAGCTGGTACCCAAACCTCTGTTAATGCTTCTGTTGGGTTTCTGCTGTCCTACGCAGCGATCCAAAATAGCAGTGTTTGAGAAGATGTGGACATACATGAAGTCAGCCGAACCCTCCGTTTTTGTGAGGACGACGGAAGAGGGGATGATCCGCGTGAGGAAGTCGAAAGGGAAGTATGCCTACCTCTTGGAGTCCACGATGAATGAGTACATTGAGCAGCGGAAGCCCTGTGACACCATGAAGGTGGGAGGTAACTTGGACTCCAAAGGCTATGGCATTGCAACGCCAAAGGGGTCTGCACTGAGGTAAGTAGCTTGGATTTGCTTTCTTTTTCCAAACCACCCAGCAAATCAATGTATGCACACAGTTCAATCTCCATTGCCATGTTAATCACGAAAGCTTGGGGCGTGGAGGTGGGGAAGGTGGAGGGAAAGGGATATGAAAGCTCAGTGTGATGTGCAGGGAAGTAAAATGCCCAGTTCCCATTGAGCAGCAATGGGAGCACCTAATTATTCAAGCCCTGCATTTGGAAACTGGATCCTGGCTGATCCACTTGCTATGAATGTGTCTGCTGTATTAGGTGATGGCAGGGGGGCTGCTGTGGTGTAACCATTGGTTTCACAGAGCATTATCTGGAAGGGACGCTCATCCTGTGCCATGTGAACTGCACAGCTTTGCAGAGTATGGTATTACCCTGGCTTGGATCCATGCTTGCAGAGGGAGTTCTCTTGGGGAAAGCATTTTGGTGTTTCCTAAAATGAAATGCTATTTGGGAGAGGTGGGAAGCCGGTTTTGAAAAAGCCCTGCAAAAGGTGTGCATTTTCATTCACTGAGTCAATTCAGATCCTGGCAAGTGCCAAATGTATGGCAAGTCCAAAGGGGCACAAACCTTACATTTCTGAGCCCAGACCTGCAGCTGTCACATGCCTTTGCCTACTGTCATATGAAATATCTTCAGAGACCTTCCTTTAAAAAGGAGAACCCTTAAAAAGTACAGACCCAGATCTGAGTTAGTAGCAGAGCTTGGGCCCTGCACACAGCCATAATCCTGGACATGGAGTGCATCATGCAAACTGACCTGCTCAGAGCAGCATTACCACAATGTGCAAACTGGGATGGTGATCGGAGTCACACTAGAGGTGCGGTTCCTTTTGGTAGCAGTCATGCAAGTTCCTCATGTTACAATCATGAGGAATAAGAGTTGTAATGTTTTAGTTGGACTAAGTCCTCAGAAGCCATAGCTTTAAGTAATCTGATCAATGATCCAACTCATTTAGTTATTTATTAAACATATTTTAATCAAAATATTTTGACCAAAATCATATGTGTGGCCTTATGCTTGCTTGCTAACATAACCCAATGCAGAGACATTTAATCCATGGTCTCTGGATTACTAGAAACCAGCCAAGCATTTGCTGATGTATTTGTCTGGTCACACAGCTCCCGAGCCAAAGCCAAAGAATCAAAGATGTTTCAACTGGTAGTGGATGAGGCCCAAGGATTTTGATTACTACATTTATTAAGTCAGCTCAAATTGGATTCAGCACTTGCCATATCAGCAATTGCAGGAGGTATCTTTAGAGAAGCTCATGAATGCAGTGCAGGTGGTCCAGAAGGCCATTCTTGCATCCAGTGTGGTTCAGGCTCTGAAATGACTTGGGGCCCTCCAAATGAAGGTGGATATATTCTCACAGCTTTGAGATGTTTTCTGTTGCACTCTCTCCAGTGTTTGTTTTCTGTCTTGCAAATATGGAAATTAGGATACAGGGCTGATTCTATTTATTTATTTATTTATACATTAATCTTGTATCCTAATTTTGATATTATAAAAACAAACAAACAGGAACATCCTACCTGTCTTGTAATTGTTGGCTTGTGAAGGAGCCATTTATCATACTTCTAAGAAAAATAAATAACAAAAAAGAAAATTGCATCATTTTAATTTTGCAGCTCCAAACATCCCTCTGCTAGGCATGATTCCAAAAACTCCTAACATTTCTTTCTGTTTCCTCTTTTTCATCCCGGCTGCATGTAGAACAAATTTCTTATGGGCCTAATGGCAAATGAGGAATGCTTGATTTTCCATCCGATGGTGTTTCTTTGGAACAGTTGCTGTCAGTTTTTGTCCCATTATGTTTGTTTTGTTCCTGTGGTTTTAATTGTTTTAATCTTAGTAGTTCCCTACAGTCATCATGTAGTGTCTGTTTTCCCCTTGGGGTCCTGCATGTGAGAGGTTGCCCTGAGCAAGGTGACATTCATGAGGCATCTGTATAGCACGGTCAGCCTGTCTCTTACACAGGCTTCATCTTCACTCACTTCCATCCACAGAGTAAAAGCTCTGAGCCAGGTTTGGAGGTACATGTGAGCCAGGCCTATCTTAGATCAGGTGTGTTTTAGATGCTGGGCTGCATTTTGATTTTTGCTGCGACCTGTGCCTTTTTCCTGCATTTAGGATAGCTGATGAGGAAAAGATCCTAGAGAGACGCTAAATG